GAAATGGGTCTGAGGGTTTGTACAGTCGAGGTCTTGGAACATATCCCTGTTTGTTACATTTGTAAAGTGGGTTCCCTTTATGTGAATTCGAGTTATACACTGTTTTCCAGGAACGCATGTACAGCATAAAGCAAGGGAAACCTGTAACTAGAAGGGACCTTTCAATCAGCTGATTTGACCTCCTGTACAAAATACGATTTCATCCTTATATTCCCATACAGAGCCTAATAACTTGCTTTCAACAAAGCATTTCTTAGAAAAACATCTCTGTAGTGTGCAGAGGCAGCATGATAAGGAGGTATACCCAAACTGTGTCTTTAATGACCACAATTGTTGGTGTTATGGCTCAGGATCTGGTACTGTTTGTGTCTGACATTGTCTCATATATCTGATGTATCAGAGACTTAAAGTTGGAATTTAGCTTGAGAGCCATTCTTTGTTAGCCCTTGGATCTTGCACTGCAACCCATGCTCCAGACATAATTTCTGCATTTGTCATTAATTATTATTTTGACCTTTCATTTCAGTTGGTTTTTGTGCTCCAATTAAGCAAAACCTATTGCAGTAGCAGGATTCTACATGACTCATGGTCACTTTTCCCAGTTATTTGAATGCTCTAGAGGCTTACTTTTCTCCGTGAGCAGTCAGCTGCTGCTTCTGCTGAAGTGCATATGGCACAGCTGAGACTCTCAAAATCAGCATGTTCAATGTGGCAGTTTTAATCATGTTGCTGTATTTCAGCTACTCAACAAGGTTCTTAGGCAGCTTTTCTCCAAGTTCTGGCTCAGAACTGTGCCATTTAGTTAGCAATGAGCATTCAAAAAGCACAAATGTAGCTCTAATCAGAAAAACCAGGGGAGCATTGTTAACAGATGCAAGCAAGGTGCAGTGCTGCAAAGAAAAATAGTCAGCATTTTCACCTTGCTATTTACAGAGGTCCATTTGAATAAATCAGCTAGAATAAATCAAATCTGACGACTCATAGGATGCGTCAGTCCTGATCAGCCCAGGGGCCAATCTTACTCCAGTATGCTTCTTCCAGGAGCAGCCATGCAATGCCTGTGTTTAAGGATGAAGCAAACTCCACACCACTGCTACCACCATCATCATGATGCACCAAGCCACAAGGTCCCATCTGAGTGAACAGTGTTCCCCCTAAAGAAAAAAAATGATCCTCCTATTTGAGGGCTATATTGTACCTAGACTTCTCAAAGTGCCAAAAGAGCTTTTTGCACTCTGAGTGCAGGAAGCAGATGGAATATGGCTGCCCCTCCAGCACAAAGGCAGGGAAGCTCATGCATAGGGACCTACCAAATTCACAGGCCCCAGCAACTGATTACATGACTGCAACACAGATGAGGGCCCCAATTTCACGGCCACATCATGGCCCGGGCTGCCATTTTGAAGGTGGAGCAAAATGTGCCGCTGCCACCACATTGGCTGAGGGCCACTGCAAGTCCCCACCCCAACAGGCATTGATTGAAAGCCCTAGCTTTCAGTAATTATCACCCTCTTCACAGGACATAGGGCAATAATTACTAAGAAAACAGTTTAAGAAGGAGACTTTTGGGGGGCTTTCCCCTACTCCCCTCCTGGAGACAGAGAGATGGGAACTCCCCCCCTCCCCCTTTCAGGAGATGGGCAGTCTGCCTTTTTTCTTCCCTTTGCTCCCTTCTCCCTCTCCACCCCACTCTTCTGGGAGACAGCTTCCTGCCAGCTCTTTGAACATAGCTGTTTCCCCACACTTTTTCATAGGGAACTGGCTATTTCATGGGAGACTGCCAATTACATGATTTCCATGAAATCATATATGTATTTGGTAGGTCCCTACTCATGCAACAAGAGGGGCAGTGGTTGAAGGGAAATACAAGTGGAAGGGACTTTGGAGGTTATCAAATCCACCCACCTGCGATTACAGGTAACCATGGAACAGAATTCTCTTCAAAAAAGGTTGATTCAGGAGAATATCCACTCTAGCCCCTTCCACACTCCACAAGCCTGAAACACCCAACCAGAGCACAGGCTGTTGCCTTTTTGTAGGATGTTGCCTCTAATGAATGTGCCCGGGCAGCATTATGGCTGTCTCAGCAAATGTAGGGGCACAGATATGCTGCACTTCTCTCTCCATTCCCTCAAAGTGGCCACACGTCTATGATATAACTCTAAGATTGCACAGCCCTTGGATCAGTGCCAATATTGTGGTCGGGGAGTAGCCCAACCTTTTTCAAGTGTATTTGGAGTGAATTCTACAGGATGATTGCATGCTATGAAAATAAGTATATTCTTTAGTGATTACCTGCCACCACCCACTCCCTGTTTTCTAATATCCAAACAAAAGGAATGGTCTGGTCTGGTTTGTTTTTATGTTGCCTTTTGCTTTTTAATAGAATATCTAATCCCCCTCTCACTCTTCGCTTTTCTAGCCTAAACAGCTGCTCTGTTTTAACAAAAGGACAGAAAAAATAATCCAAAGAGCTTTCCTTAATACACAGTGAAGGAAACATATCACAGGTCATTTTCCACTTGCTAGTTACAACCTTCTAAACTAACAAAATAATCAAACGTATGAAGACAGGGCAAAGACTACAATTATGATCCTAGGTCTCAGATAGACCTTTGATGGATGTAATAACACCTGAGTCTTAAAGGGACTTGAACGATAATTGTACTCCTTGGAATCATTGGTTTCAACCTTGAAAAGGCTTCAACATTTAATCCAGCAAAGGAAATCTCTAAGAACTCCAAAACCATGCACTGTTTTTCAGTGTGAAGAGGATGGGAATTAAATTGATTACAGTGGCTTTTTAGTTGGAAGCTTGGCAGAATTAGGACATTATGCCATCTGTTGTTGAAGCAGCAGTAATACACCAAGCTCTTCCAGCCTATGTTTATCATACAGGCTGACAATGCAGGACTGAAATGCAGGGTTTTTACCATACAAATTAATTTTCTTTCTGGGAGCTCCTTGTTTTGGAATGGACCATTCCCTTTGCTTTCTGGGGTTTTTCACCTGCAATCACTGTACTACTTACTTTTGGTCTGGAATTTGCTCAGCATTTAGCAATGCAACAGTTAGGGTGCTTAATAACAATGTGATAACGTCTGTGGTTAGGGAGGGTTGGGGATTGGGTGGGTCCTGTACAGAAAATGGATTTGCAAAATGAGACCAAACTTTTTCTCCATGTGAGATGTTCCTAAAATACAATAGGCTGTGCTCAGCAGCATCTGTCCTAGCAGAAGGGGAAACTACATTGGAAACTGAATCACTTTGCCATGGACAGTAGCTCATGGGACTCATAAGCCTCAGGGCCACGTCTTCAAATAAAAGTGCAAGTAAAGGCCTGGGATGAGATTCCAGTTGATCCCTAGCAGACCTTGATCACAAAGGCAACTTTCCTTGGCTCAAGATGAGACTAGGTCCCTGCTGAAGGAGGCCCTCACGCCCAGGCCAGTGAGGGCACAGGCAAGCCAGCACTTGTGTTCCAAGTAACCAGCTGCTCCTCTCTCATTGATCTAATTTCCCCCCTTCCTTGTATCCCTGGAGAGCTGCCTGATCTATGGCAGCGCAGGTCCTCTGCAGACAGCAATTGCCCGTGGAGCCTGATGGGCAAGTGGGCTTGGAGAGGGAGGTGACAGGTTAGTTACCTGGTCCCTAAAAGACTCGATTCACATTAGCAGCAGACGGGTGCAGTCTCCAAAGCCCTGGTGTGCTTGAGGGCAATGAGTAGTGTAGGGGAGAGACAGGCGGGGGCTGCTGTAGCGCTTGGCAACCGCAGCATGAAGGACGCCTGTTCCCTCATGTACAGCCTGTCCCTGTCACGGGGGTGCATTAGGGCAGTGGTCTCCAAACTTTTTTGATCGCGCACCCCTATCAGTAAAAAATTTTTGAGAACACCCCCCCAATATACGTATATTTATAGAAATAGAAATTCTAATATTTTCTTCCCGCACCCCAATGGATCCTATTGCGCACCCCCTGGGGTGCGTGTATCCCACTTCGGAGACCACTGCATTACGGCACGAGAAGAGCAAATTCAAGCTTGACCTCCAGCAACCAGCTTTGCCTCCTGATTAAGTTTGTCCCGAAGCCCGCCCGGTAGGCCGCGGTAGTGCGGGAAGCAGAAGAGCGCGCCGCGCGGGGCGCCGGGAACGGTAGTTTCCCCCCTCCGGGCTGGTCCGTAGGAGCCAGGCTCCCAGCCCGCCCGGATATGGCGGCTCCCTTGGTGCTGGGGTTGCTGGTGGCGGTGACGGTGCGGGCCGTGCTCTATCGCTCCAGCCTGGCCGCCTTCATCTCCGACCGGGTCGAGGTGTCGTCCCCGTTAAGCGCCTGGAAGAGAGGTGAGGCCGGCGGGGCCTGCACGGGCGCGGGGAACAGCCCGACTGCTCGGGCCCTGCGCGAGCTCCGCCGGGAGCCGCGCCCTGAGCTCTGACCCGCGGGGCCGCGCCCGGCCACGTGCGCGGCCCGGAGCCCTGGAAGATGTTGGCGGCGCTGCTGCGGCCCCTGCGGAGCGCGGTGACAGCCTGGCCGGCGCCGCAAGGCGTCTCCTGAAACGGAGACGGGCTCCCCTTTCTAGACCGGCCTGTAGCCGCCTCAAGTGAGACCGGGCTCCCTCTTCCTTCAGCCTCTTGCCTCCGTGCTGTGCTGCTTGCAATGCAAACCCGGGGCTAGATGAGCCCGTGGTGCCACAGGCTTGCTTGGCATGGGGTGCTGACCCCCCACAACACAGAGCACACGAGGCTGGACCCAAGGGGAGGGGGCCTGTGTGACCAGTAAGGGCAGGGGAGGCTAAGCCTTGCTCTGTGGGCGTCAAGTCCACCTTAACCCTGTGTGTTGAACAGGCCTGGCTCCTTGTCTGCATTGTCCCTGCATGCTCTCTACTCCCCTATTGTTTGCCCCTACTTCATCCCAGTCCCAGGTCCTTTTCCTACGTTTCTTACCCAATCTTACTCTCAGCCCTTGTCCTGTATAGATCCTTGTCTGCTTTTTTCTGCCGTGTGTATCTCAACTTTTCTTCCCGGTCTCTCAAACTATTTCCCATGCCCAGCTTCCCTACTGCTGGGATGTCTGCATGTCTCTATAATATCTTCCCCTCTTCATTTGCCTGGATCCAGCAGCCCAGAGATGCAGTTGCAGGGAAAGTCCTGCCCAGCTGTATGCTGGAGCAAGCTCACTGCACCCCTTACTTGTAAATTTTTCTGGAGCTCTAACAAGTCTCTACAGAGCACAAGTGAACTGCAGTTTTTTAGAACATGGATAAATTTGGGCAACGGGAGGATTCTTGTGGGTAATACAGTATCTTTTATTGAATCAAATACATGGTTGGGAGAGATTTAGAGTAGATTTCAGGTATAAGCTTTCTGAGGTCTGAACTCAGGCCTTACTCCTAAAGTCTTGTCTAAATCTTTCCCAGTTATGCAGTTAATCCAATAAAAGATATTACTTACAAAAATCCTTGCCCTTTGCATATTTCCAGGACCATTTTGGCAACAGCGTCACTCCGATGTTACCGCAGATTATTACAGGGATGGCAGAGGCATCTCTCTAACACAAAGCCCTGCCAACGTTTGAGTTCTGGCTCCGAAGCATGGGAGACTTGCAGCTTGCTAAAGGAAAGGTCACCTGCAATCTTTAACCGTGTGCAAAACATCTTCATCTGACTAGCTATCTTCTCAGATGGCTGAAGCATCTTAGCTGGAATTTAAAAAATATATCTTTTAGCTGGAGCTCAACATGTAATAGGAAAAGTTTTCGTGTAAAAAATGGTTAAAGTTTAGCAAGGTTATAGATAACTAAAAGAAGTTATAATAGGAGATATGCAATTTTTATAATATGGGAAGTTTTTCAGCTTTGCCTTAAAATTTAGACGCATAATAAAATCATAATTATTTACAGGGGTGCACCGATAGAGATTTTGGGGGCCGATACCAATACCCGATATTGTTTTTTAAGGAGGCACATCCGCCGATACTGATCCTATTTCCGATACACAGCCTTACAGCTTGAAGAGCTGCGTCCAGCTGGTAAGTCTGTTGTGGTGGAAGGGAAGGGAAGGGGAGGAAGGGGCATGGGGAGGCAGCTCAACCCCCACCACAGTGAGGGAGGGAGTGGTGCTGGGGCATTGGATGGAGCCATGGCTCATTGGGGGGGGGGG